AGAGGAAGCAGTGAGAGCCCCACCATAAAAATAAATTCCAGCTTCTAGTGTAATCTGACAAACGGATTAGCCGGGGAGCAGCCAAGGGCACCAGCTCCTGGCAGGGCTGGATTTGGGGGCAGGAGAGGGAAGAGGAAAGAATCCCCACCACGCAAAGCCCAGAGCTGGCAGTGCTGGACCACTGCTGTGAGGGGCTGTGTGGCCCCTTCCTGCCCAGCAGCCTGACCCCCTGCCTGACCAACCTCTCACTGGTCACAGTGATCTGTCAGGGTGTGGGGAGGCTCCCCATGGGAAAGGAATCCAGAAGAGAAACCCACCAGCCTTCCCATTCCCTTGGTTAGGGACAAAACTACCTTCAGAAAGGAGGAAATAAGTGTTGAGTGCTCTGGCCAAGCCCTGGCGCAGAGGAGAAGCTGACTTCGCTCCCGTGTGGGCAAACGCAGTGGCCTTGGGGCAAGGATCAGCTCCGTGTCCCCTCCCAGAACAGGCCCCGCTGCCTGCGCCGACTCCACGGCCTGTCCCGTGCCGAGAGGAGTGGCTCCAGGAATCCCTGTCCTCGCGGTGGCGGCAGTGTCACCGTCCTGCGTGCCTGGTGCTGTCCACGAGCAGCAGCGAAGCATTGGAATGAGGCATCCCCCTGCCTGTGCCGCGGGAGGAGTCCCTGCTCCCACCGGACGTCCTGGCCATGGGGGACACGAGGGGGTTAGCAGCTCTCCAACGGAGACAGGGCGGGAAGGGGGGAGGTGAGTCGGCAAAAAAAAAGGGGCATCCTGGAAGCTGATGAGGTTGGACTCCTGGCCGGCACTCTTCCCGGCGGCACCAGGCTCGGGCAGCAGTGGGCTGTCAGCCTTTGCTGCCGCCGCTGCCTCCTCCTCGTCATCCTCCATGCTGGGCCAGGCCGACTGGTCCTCCACGCGCTTCAGCCGCTCGTTCAGGGCCTTCAGGGCCAGCTGCCTGTAGGGCAAGGGCAAACAGGCAGGTTAACCCCGGGTCCAATGGGCAGGGCACAGGTTGATGGCTCTGCCCCATGGGGCACTGGCCAAGCCAGTCTCTGGCTTCTTCCCAGGAGGAAAGTGTGGATTCACAGTGCTGGAGATGACCTGGAGCGCCTAGGGCTGCTCCACAGAAACCCACTCAGGCTCCCAGACTACATAGACAGAGTTTTCACACCACGTGGTGTGCTTGGAGGCTGTCAGCACATAGGCTGCTCCGGAAACAGGGAATAAAGGCATAAACCAGGGCATGGAATATGGAGTGCCAACGCCTTGTCCAAACCCTCCTGCCAGGAGTCAGGAAAGCCAACGCCAGGTGTGCAGGAGAGCTGGGGCACTGGGCTGACTCACTGCTTTCCCCCGGCCCTGGGTGAATGGGTGCAAGGCTGCTCTGAGCAGGGCCCAGCACCTCCCTGGGCAGACCCTGTCCCACTTTCTCCTCTATGGACCCCAAACCATGTCGGCCTCTTCCCCAGGATCTCCACGCTCCTTCTCTGCCCTTCCACTGCTGCTGCACCTCTGGAAAAGCACCTCTGAAAGAAGAGCCCCCTGAAATGCTCCTCACCACCTCCATGGCGGGGCACCCCCCAGCAAACCCCATGGAGAGGGCACCACTTAGCAACCTGCACCTCAATCTCCCAAACCTGACCCCGGCTGCCCCTAAACAGGATCCACGTGGAAGCAAGGCAGGCAGTACCTTCTCCTCTCGGCATCCTGGGGGTCTGTCCCCGGCAGGCTGATGGTGATGGAGGACGGGGCACCCACGTCATACCGCTTGACCGTCTTGCGGCACACCCTCACCTTCACCAGGACACTGTGCACCAGGTTGGCCACCAGACCCACCACAGGCTGCAGAATCTCGGGGAAGAAAGTGGCAAAGGCGAAGTGGTCAGACATGTCTCCACGGCCCCTACTGTGCCGCTGGTAGAAGCGCAGATAGATCCAGCTGGAGAGGAGCCCGAAGCC